CAGAAATCAACTTAATTTCAATTCTCTGTGATTTCAGAAACCAGAACAGTCTCTCTCTTGCAAATAAAGTAGTTCCAAATTCCTTGAGAGTAGCAAATGATGCGGTAAGAAACGATCGACCCCTCCCCCCTATTAAGTGTTTTCCGGGCTGATTGTCCCCGGATTGTCTCATGACTTACCCGAACGCAAACATTTTAACAAAATGTCGGCTCCCCGAGAATGACGAAACATCATCGTATAAACTGAATTGGTCCCCAGGCTGACAAAACTTGACTTTAAGGATGATTTCGACAATGACTTCAATGACGACTTCGACGAGAACGACGAAATATAAAGCCTAGCTAAAGGGTACGACCTAAAGTAAATAAATGATGACACATAACCCAATCACCTTCCCTGATGTTATCAGTTTCAATCTTCTGTACCTTGATTGGTCACGTGTCTTAACTTTAGCCAATGAAATTCTATCCTCAACCATAGTCACAAAACTGCCTCCCGAGGACGTCAATCCAAATTGTTCAAGAACAAAAGAGCACGTGCTTTTAGCCTCTCAAAATAGGCGTGTCTTACAAGGCCAGAAATATGTCCGGAACCCAACAAGAAATATACATAAGCCACGCGACTATGAATAGGCTGCAAATTACATGAATTCCATTAATGTTAATATCGGGCTGGTTTGCATACCAATACGGACACCTGTATGAAATTCCATTATGACTGACATTTCGAGCAGGGACCGTCTCAAAATAAGTGAAAATCGCCTGGCTCTATAAACAAATAAGCGCATACATAATTTAATACCCGAAGCCTACCTGTTTTTGTTGTGTTAGTTAAATTGTCTATCCTTTTGTACTAAGTTCAAAATCTCGTGTTTAAAACCCTCATCTTTATATTTTACTGGTCTAGCGCCCCCTCTCCGTAGAGATTACGAGTCAATATTTTTTTTAAATCCATCAAGTGACGAACTTAATCAATTTTGAAAGATAATAATAAAAGTCATTTAACAATCAGTAGTGTAGACAGCGCGGTATTAAACGCTATCAAAGGATGACTAAATCAAAAATTCATGTTGACTTTTGTTTACCTGTAATAATGTGTACATCAGATATCTTTTGACTTTTTGTGGTAAAGTACCCGGTTTTCGGCCACTTAAGACAAAATCCTATTTATTGGACTCTTTACTTCCTATTTATTATCATTTCTTGTTCAAATCATGAAGCAAATATTATTATTATTTAAACAAAAAAAGAATCCCCAAAAAAAATCACGAATTGCCATGACAATATTCATTTCAATTTTCACTGTTTTGGAGCCGGTTATCGGCCGAGCGTTTCAGTTTACGGCCGCATGTACAAAGTCAATCGGAAGCGCTCGCGCGCGCCGTGCGTTTCTGCGCTGATGTATAGCACACGCGGGCGGAGCAGGTATCCCACGCCGGAGCTCCCGGGTGCTCGCCTGACCGAATACAGGCACAGCGGTGATCGGAAGTTGGAATCTGAATTAGACGGACATATCGTGTGTGCGTCGCGGTGTGCGGCTGCATTGATTTAATACATGCGATGAGATACTTTTGAGCTTGCGACCAGCACAAAATCGGGCTCTATATCTGAAAAATACTTGAAATAAAGCTCATTTTATGGTACCCATATTTCTTACATACACGCGTAAGAAACTCGATTTTTCAGATTTGGGTAGCGGGACCGCCGATTACATCGCTAAAATGTGATATTTTAGGATATATTTTTCATTGCAAATGTGGTTCTTCAGTGACACTGGCATGGTATGGTATGTGTGGGATATGTGTTATGCTATTATGCGATGTATTTTAAAGTGATTTTACCATGTATCCAACCAATTGGCCGAAAACCGGAGCTGACCGATTACCGGGTACTTTACTCTATATTTTATATCATTTTTCTATTACTTTTGTTCTACCTGCTAAGCTCCACCCCTAAGGAGACCCTCCAAAAGCAATTGACTTTTGTGACATCATCATGCCAGGCATTCATCAGCCAGCTAGATGAAATAAATATATTGGTATGTCCCTTCACATCAAGTGACCGCCTGCTCATAATAGCATTGCCTGTTTTTATACAATGCCATCACAAAATTCAAATACATTGTAAGCAGTTGCTTTGTCAGAAATCCCCAAGCAACACCATGAAAAGAAGGGTTTCAATGGGCTATTATATGAAAACATGCAATGCTAATGCAATAATGTACTCAGTGGGTGAGGACATACCACTGTCTTTTGTGAACAGCCAACACGTGGTCAGTTGATGGGAAGAGACATACCAATGCCCCATTTTATACTATTGTCAGGGGCGGATCTAGCTTTTTGCTAAGCGGGGGGGGGGGGGGGGGGTAACGCAAATGTGATATGGAGCATCGTCCACGAGCCGCGTAGCGGCGAGGCGAATTTTTGTTGATGCTATTTTGAACCCCCATAAGTGATGTTTTCCTGGCATCTACTAATATCTACTAACATTGTGTGTGTCTGAACACAATATGATGGCATTTTTCTATGCACATCATGTTTTCACTTGGCAGCCAATTAGGGGGGGGGGGAGCGGTTAAACTCCCTAACCCCCGTACATCCGCCCCTGATTGTATACCCTTAATCAGGACTAGTAATCAATCAGCTTCAATCTTCTTCACCTTGATTATTACGTGTTTTACTGTTAGCCAATGAAATTCATTTTCCTTTATACCCAGAGTCGCTCAACGATTATCACATGTCTTATCTTAAGCCAATCAAATCACTTTCCTCAACCAGAGTCATGAAACTGCCTCCACGTGGACGTCATTCAAGAACAAGGGAGCACGTGCTTCTACCCTCTCAAAATAGGCGTGGCTTACAAGGCCAGAAAAGTGAAATATACACAAGAATCTTACAGCCACGCGACTATGAATAGGCTGCAAATAACATGAATTTCATTAATGTTAATATCGGGCTGGTCCGCTGGTGTGCATACCAGTAATGACACCTGTATGAAATTCCATTATGACCGACACATCGTGCAGGGACCGTCTCAAAATACGCATACATAATTCAATCCCCAAAGCCTATGTATTTTTCAATTTTTATTGAGATTTCTATCCTTGTTTACGAAGTTCCAAACCTCATCCGTACATTCTCAAGTCTTCGTGATCCACACGGTGAAATTCAACGTCCAAAATGTAGTTCGAAAAGGGATCGAACTTCACATTGCTCTGATATTTTGCTTCTGTTGTATGACTTTAATTGCACGTGTTGCATAAGTTAAGTTGCTCTGATTTATTTTGTAGTACGTGTTCTCGTTTTATTTTCAATTTGAAAAGTGTTCCTGTGTTCTGTATTTTTTTTTAAAGTTTACATAGTTGTCATTACAGCTTTTAAAAAAGAACAGAGTGGATCGTCATTTAAATACCCTTATGTTTTTTTCTCCATTATCTCTGGTAAATGACCATTTCAGGTACGAGAAGTTACTCCTTTTCACTTAAGACAAGTGCCCCTTTCACCTTCGATAATTGCCCCTAATCAAATCTGAGAGATACTCATTTTACTTTGACAAGTGCCACTCCCCCTCCTGGTAAGTGCTCTTTTCATCTCGGATGAGTGTCCCTTTTCACCTCTAATAACTGCCCTTTTTATTTGACACATGCCCCTTTTCCCTTTCTAATAAATGCTCTTTTTCCTTCTTATAAGTTCCCCTTTTCCTTCCCATAATTACCCCCTGATCATCATTCGACGCCGGTCATCTGTATTGTTCAACTATTGTTGACACGTCGGTATACATGAATCTCGGTTTGTTTGACTCTCGACTCAATCTCTATCTTCCTCTTTCTGCTGCATGATCTCACCCCCTCTTCTTAGAGTTTTTGCAACCATTCATTTTCTTATCTATATCTTTCTTTCCTTTTTGCCTTCTTCTAGTTTTCACCAATTTTTCCTTTTTTAATATTAAAAAAAATCTCCTTCCCTAAATACATAACTTCTTCATTGTTACATACTTTTTTACTAATCGATTTTCGATGATTACTTTGTTTTCAAGACGTATAATTGTAAAACATCCTCTGAGGAGCTAAGACCTCAACAAGCTCTGCTTCTAATAAATTACTTCCTCTTTTCCCGTGCCATTACTAGTATATTTGTCTTGTTTCATTATATATTTTTGTGTAATATAACATTGCAATTTCATTGTATTATGTTTTGCAAGAAAAATAAAATCATTTGAATCTTGAGTTAAAAAGAGGTCCCAATGTCTTTATAACTAAGCGAGGGATGAGTTCATGAATTGTAAAACATTAAAGGGATAGTTGAGTTCTGTTGCAGAGGGCGCTGCGCAAAATAATTTTTTGTGAGATAATGAAAAACTGAGTGTCAAATTTGAAAGAAAATAATATTTAAATGACAAAATCATCTTTGTTTGATCAAAATCGGTTCAGAGACAGCTGAAATATAACGATTTCTAATACTTGTGTACCACAACAAATATTAGATATTTTGAAAAATTTGAAATAAAACCGTTGAAAAAAACGAAATAACGCCTTTTACGTCGTATTTCAGCCATTGCCGATGTTGGCTTTTTTGTTGGCATTTTCGTTTTGCTTATTATTACGCAAAATCAGCCGGCCCATGTATCGTTATTTTTAATCAAATAATTAATTAACGGTCACCGTGTTTTTTTTAATGTGGAGCTGAATTGGTATGCTCGTATTGGCTAAATTTCACACATTTTGGGGTCTAAAATTACCTTCATAGCAATTTTGGGTTCTAAAAGGGTACCAGAATTGTCATAAATGAGAATAAGATCAATAAACATGCACTTTGAAGGCATTTGCGGTCTGAAAACAGAACTCAACTATCCGTATAACACACAAAAGCATCTACATCTGTAACAGCACGATGTGAAGACAATGGGGAGGGAAACAATAGACAGGAAAGGCAACGAGGACTTTGTACCTGGTCGACATTGGTAGTACAACGAAGCCTTTCATATTCACGTGCATAGGAACTTACAACATGTTTAAGGAGTGGTCGAGGGCTTGATTCATTACTTTAACGGATTGAAAATGGGTCGATTTGAAAGTCGTCTAGCAACATCAACCGATGAATCAACCCTGTACGATCTCCTCTATGAGTAGTACGTCGTCGAGCAGGACTTGGGAGAAGAATTCACGAATTCACAACAAAGTAAGTTCAAGCGTCAGTATAATCAACAAGAGAAAATAATGTCTTTGGTCGTACATATTGCATTCAAGGTAAATTATGTAACAGAGTGCGTGAATTTGATAGACTTTAAAGGTATATACCAGTTTCGGAAACGCCCCCTTAAAAAATGAAATGGAAGCTCTTATTACCAATCATGTGAAAGAATATGACTAATACGTGATGATACAAATGTTGCCGGAAAACCGCCTACTAATTGATATATTTGGTAAATTATTATATCTATCCGGACTGGATAAATACCGCGTAATCCCATATACATCTTTCTGTGTACAGTGCTTGTGACTTTACCAAAACTGGCCTAAATTTCTTATCATTTTGATGATTCCAGAACCTTGCAGTACACACCAATACTTATATGCTAGATGATCAACCTTTTCTGATCGATTCCACAACGTTCTTTCACAATGCAATCGCAGAACTGGTCTATACCTTTAACAAAAATGCTTTGATCAAAGTTCGTCCAGTTGCAATCATTATTCCCTGTAAGCAGGGGCGTCAATCCGTTTTATATGTTTGGGGGACACTGAAATCTGAGTGTCCAAGTAGAGCGAAGCGTTATAAGGAGTGGGGTCCAGTGGCAAAGCCCCGGCGGGTTTTCAGACCATGCAATTTTCTTCCATTATTCTGTCAAACCAGTTTTGCAGCAAATATCAGTTGATATAAGGATTCATTATTTTATCTTGTTTCAGTGATATAATATACCCTACTTACATTGAAGTTTTTTTCGATAGCCGGGCTAGCTAGCCGTTTTCCATAGGCCTTTATTGATTTAATAACAAGTCCCTACGACAAAATAACATCCATTTCACTCCCAAAATAAAATCATTTAAAAAATCAACATAACTTGATATATTTCGAGGGTATTTTAGAATGTCGGTCCTTATGATACTAACATTTCTTGAGCACCGAAATGTAGGACCAGTGGCGTAATTTTTAAATATTTTTGTTAACTGGATCAATGCAATTTGGTGCATACTTTAAGTACGCTAAAGCCCGTTTAAACACCAATCGCACGATTTGGGGTCACATTTTGATCAAAATTAACTTCTTTTCAAAGGATTTATGTTTTTCATTGACAATTTTTAATGGTAAATAACTAAATATACATGTAATTTGGATCTCAGAGATCAGAGAATTTTGAAGTAATGACTCATTAATGCATGTATGACACATTTTCGGCGTCCCAAGGCAAAAGCGATGCCCCCCCCCCCCTCACGGAGGGCTCAAAATGTTGGTGCCCAGGGGCCGAATTTGTCATTGAAGTATCATGAATGGTGTGAATATACGTATTATGTTAAAACCATTCTATTTCCCAACAGATTTCATAAATCATTTCAACCTTGGGCACTTTTCGGCGCTTCTCACCGAGGTTATAGATGAGACAGAATGCAAGAGAGAAGTTATCGGATGCACCTTCCTTTCCTTTCTATATAATTACATCGTTGGTAGAAGAAGTTTCATACACTGCTGTTATGTGAAGCCAGCCTTCAGAGGTATGGATCTATTTTATATTCAAAATAATCTTCAATCCTTGTTCTAAGCCCCCCCCCCCCCCCATCCAGGTGACGCCAATGCCAACTTCTTTAACTCTTTGTCCACCACACATATCTCTCCCCACGACACATTAATGTTGCACTGCCTCAACTCGGGACCCCCAACACCTAGCCCATATGCATCGCAGAGTTTATTTAGGGTAGAGTTTTTTGACGAATTATTAATTTTTACTGGTTTTAGAAATATATAGAACCTTATGGGTAGCATTCCTTACTTTAGTTCATCTTTCTTGTTTTTGTGTATATAATATATATATATATTATTATATATAATTTAGACAAAAGAACATAACAGATTGTTTACATTACGTTCCTGTAAATCATAATAATGGCCGGCAATGTTGACATGGAATATAAAATATTGATTCATGTAAAATAAAAATAACAAGATTCAAGATGACGTTTGAACTCTCATGCGGTGGGTTAGACAACATTTTTCTACCCCAAAATAAATATATGATAACGATGTTTACCACTTGATAAATCCATTATGATATTTTGTTTAACCTTCCAGACCATGGGCTCCAGCATGAATTGATAAAGCTAGCCAGAAAGGTTTGTTTCAAGTTCAACTTCCGATATAGTTGAACAGAACATTAAAGGATTCAATCAATTTATAAATATCTCCTTTGAGATAGTTTGTTTGTTTATTGTATGACTCTTCAGATGTTTATGGTAAGACATTAAGACCAATGTCGTGCACTGTACTACACTCTTTTAACGAGTAATCGTTTCATGTACAAACAATTCGTTTGTACATGTACTATGATATTCTTTCTTAATTTCCCTTCACAGAACCACCGTTTTTTATTAGACCAAGATCCCTTCCCAAGTGCGAATTCTTAACCAAATTTTCCATCACATTAATGTACATGTAGATCATCAGAATTTTTTGTTTTCGATACAATTTTCGTAGTGCGATTATAAAAGGGTGACTGAGCGGCGAATGCTTACGAACGTTCGAATTTTGGATTTGCCCACTTTTCTGACGAAAGATTAGTAACTATTTGCCAATACTTTGCCACTATTTGTGAATGTTTGTGACCTTTTGCTAACTCCTGGTACTCAATGGGTCGATTTTATATAGGAACTATATGGTCACGTGGTCGCTAGCATTGGCGAATCAAAAAGAAGTTCAGCGACACCGTCTTATATACAACCGTTTGCAAATGCTTGCGACTGCTTTGCAAACGCTTGCAACTGTTTGCGGGAAGATAAATTCGTGAAGAAAAACAGTTTGCAAGAATTTGAACTGTTTGCGAACTTTCTTGCAACCTTCAACGAAGCTTTTGCAACCTTTTACGAACCCTGGCGAAACCCCAAATTCGCTACGTTCGCAAGCATTCGCCGCTCAGGATACCCCTCAGCCCATAGTACAGAGCTTATTCGGGGTATAGAGTGTCTTGGCAAAATATTCACTGTGGCCGATTTCAAAAATGTCTAGAACCGAGGCTCGGCATTACATTTAACAATAATGAGTGATGATGAATCTCATATTTGCGTCTGTCAACTATATTCTGCGTGTTCATGATTCTGTTACAATCGCGGCTATGTCTTTGATTCTAGGTTTCTGTAGATAAAGGAGTCCGTACCAGCGTGATGACTGTATGTGGGAAAGACGGTACATTCGAATCAGCCTTGGAAGCTGAAGGTGCGATCAATATGACAACCATGCCGTCCAGTCCAAGTAATTACTGGGAGATGCAGAATCACTCGACAACACCAGAGTTTTCGGTAAATTACTTCATGTAGATTATAAATGATACACATTTGACATCATTGTACTTTTTAACCACATAAAACATACCTACATACATCCATAAAGTACATGTGATATTTTGTTACATTGTTAATAATAATTTAGCCGATTTCCTTTTCAATGCTCGCTTTATTGTGAACCATTTCCCCCATAAGGCCACACTCTTCTCTCCCTTCGTTTAAATGTTGTGGTCTAGTGGTAAGTCAGTGGACTGTAGATCACAAGGTACGGGGTTCAAATCCAGGGTAATAATGTCTCAGCGCCATGAGCATCATTGATTGACGGATATCATTCTCCCCTTCCCCTCCTTCTCTCTCTATTTCTTAATAATTCTCTATAACTCTCTCGATTATACTATCTCTCACTTAAATCTCAAATGTTCTTACTTTCTGTTCTCATTTATTTTTCAGGATGACGATTATGTGATTCGTGAAGGGACACCTGAAGACCTAGATGACGTATACGCTTTATGTGAAAAGCTGATTGAGTATGAAAAAGTGGAGGAGTTTGTATCGCTTACCAAAGAAGGTAAGCTGCTAGAGGCAAAGGCAAGAGACAAGCAAAACAGTAAAATTGGCTAGTAATTAATGAAAATAAAATGATATACCTTTGAATCACGCGGAAGAATGCATGCATGTAATAAAAAATAGGCCCTTTTCTTTATCCGACTTAGTAGATCATATTTGATACTCATGCAGCGTCTAAAAAATCATTTTCTAAGCTCTCCTGCTACCCGAAGATGCCAGCATAGCTGATAATATGTGGTTGGACTAACGTGTGCGTTTCGGACCTTCTAACAGTGTTTAGAAGGTCCACAGGACCGCAGTGTTCGGGCCTTTTATGAACATCTATTTATAAGGTCCACATAGGACTGCAGTTTTGGGCCTTTTGTGAACAGCTGTTTAGTATGTATAGGTCCGCGGGACCAAAGATCACGAGGCCGGAGGCCGACTAGGTGATAATTTCGATCATGAACTTTCTACTATAGTTGTCTCATCAGGAACCGAGCTCTCATTGCTGTCATGGCCCCAGAAATAACATCAGTGGAAAAAGTAAATGTAAACTAAGAAATTTTAACATAACTTCCGTATATCTTGTACCCCCCCCCCCAGAATTTGTAAGCGACGGCGGAGTGGATGAAGCCCTGTACGGAACAGTCATTTTAGAACATCGGCGTCGTGTTGACGACCATGAGGACATCGTCATCCATGATATCATCGGATGTGTACAATATTCAAAGATGTATCATGCATTGAAAGGAAATACATATTACCTACAAGGACTCTATATCGAACCAGGTCATAAAGGTATAAAGCCGTCTCTTCTCATTCTTCTCTCATGTATTCTGCCAAAGGCAGGTCCACAAACCAGAGTCATCAGTAGTTCTTTCCCCATCCCTCTCTATCTTTAGCCCTCTTCTTCATTCTGTCACCTATCAAGTCTGACGCAATCCCAGTTTGCCGTCTTCCTCTTACCCTTTTACCAACCATCTTTCCTTCCAAGATGTACTATGTTACCCCCCCCCCCCCGTAAGATGTGTCATTCCAGTATGTTCAGTGTAATTGGCTTTTCTGGTTCAAAGAAGAAAACATTCTTGAAAAGAAATGAAGCCGTCGAGAAGAAGAAAAAATTGAAAATAGAAAATTTATTTGAGATTGAGATTTTCCAAATTATTCGTTATATAAATACTGTTAATCACACGTAATGATTTATGCTACAATATGTGCAACATCTTTAATTGTGTGAATGCTAATTTCATGAATGTTCATTAGTGTTTAAATCTAGTCTAGTGTGTGTTAGTTTGTTCTGCTTCTTTAGCCATTCGTGTGTTACGTGAATGAATCAAGCAAGTGCTTTTAATTAATATTACTTTTTGTGTGTTTTGTTTTACCTATTTGTAAAGATTAATAAATTCTGGAATATTGTTTATGTTTGTTTATTAGAAATTACGAAATAAAATGTCCATATCGTCTTGATTCTTTCCTATGCTTCATATATTTTCCAGGAAAAGGATTGGGTAAGGCATTAGTCCAAGCAGCACTGCAGGTAAGAGTCAGCTACTAGATTAATTGAAGGATTTTTTAAAAGTCATAAAACCATCCTCGCTATCGCAAGACTGAATTGCGTTTTTTGTAAAAGACCAATACTACATTGCTGTTTAAGCGGGGGAATTTGTTGTTTCTTTCGTTTATTACACTTATTTCTAATCTGACCCAAAAAATATTCTCAAAGCATTCGCTTGGATCCAGCCGAAGCATTCTGCTTTTTAAAGTTTAAAAAACTCACCTGCCCCGTCAATGAAATTTCCAATCGAAGTTTGAAGATTTAAATTTAATTTTAATTTTTAATTTAATTTGATGTCGCCGATATCCCTACAGCCAGTCGCCATAATAGGGTTAGCATTCTAAACAAGGGTCTCGCGTTCGAATCCAGTGATTTTTTTTATCAACTATTCTTGGAATTTCATAATCAATCGATATTTAAAAGAGTTTCCAGAACAATTTGTATAATGTTATATGCTTTCAATTATAAAAGTAATTTGTATGCATGTGATCTCATGTTAATCATTTCGAAGAACCCATTTAAACAGATCTTTTTGTTCTTCATCCGATGCACCATTCGGCCATGACGGATCTTTTCCTCGTTTGTTTTTTCTTTTCTTTTCTATTTTACAGATTTGCAAGGATCGCAATGGTGACGGATTCATCTTCATGATTATGACTGAAAACATCGTATCACAATCACTCTTCAAATCACTCAAGGGTATTAACATGACTCAATCAAAACATAACGTAACAACTTACTTACTCAGGTAACAAGATATTGCAAGCACACATCGCTGGTAGATTAAATTTTAATTTCGATCATAGAAGGTTCAAAGATCTCGTGTAGATTCTTAATCAAAATCTATTCCCCTTTATCTTTAGCAGCAAGGAATTAACGATGAAGGTAGCTATCAAATCCAAAGTTTCCATTGTTTTTGCGACAATAATTGGAAATTAAGCAAAGCCATATAACTCTTAAACAATATAAAATAACTTAAAGGTTTTGCCACAAAAAGAGAGACAGAGAGAAGAGAACAAAGAAAATAGCTACAATATTATTGGGCCGAATAAGGAACGGTCATTTTAGCAGCAGTTGCTTGGTAATCACCTGCCTCTGACATTTCTATGTGTTCTATACTTTATAATTATGTGCTCAAACCCTCTACCCTTAGATTAGGAGTCAATGAGTGAGCCATTTACGACACTTCAACCGATAGAGTTATTTTTTCCCTTCAAACTCTTTGAGATCTTGTCCCGTCTTTGCGGGTCCATGAATAAGCTTGTTTTCGGCTCACGATTCCACTTTTATTTCAAACATGACTGTCACTCGTAATTTACTGAGAATGAAAGCAAAGGCATATTACACTTGCTTATTGCAAATTATGAAATTCAACCACTAGTCAAATAAGTGTGCAAATACAGGTTTAAAACGCAGAAGCACACACGTGCATGGAGCAAATAAATATGAATGTAAGAATAAGGGATGAGAGTAAAATAAAGAGATAAGACACCTTGTGAAAGATGAAAGAAGGAGTGTATGACTAATGTGCTTCTACCTCTGTTTTGCCCTTATGATTTGCATACGTGATGAATTTTTCAATAATTCATTTTGTATTTACTTCTCCTTTTCGGGGTCTATATATCAACTTTTTAATTTACATGTATATTGATATTTGTATAGTGCAGCTGGATGATTTTCAATCTGTACCTTATTTTGCTATTTTCTGTATGTCCTTGTATATTAAAGATAATACAAAATTGAGGATTTTGTTTCAAAAAATTTAATTGACTTGAGTTTACTTGAACTGTGTAATGTGCGTGTGTGGACGTATCGTGTGCAGAAGTGCTAATAAACGTTATGATTATTCGCTCATCGACCAGCTATATGTCGACACAACAAAGCATGGGTTAAACACGACCGTAACAAATTGAAATCTAGAACAAAATACATTTTGTTACAAAAAAAGTTGGACAAAATCATGACGTTCGATATAAAATCATTCTGCCTAGAGCGAAATTATTTTGTCTCGAACAAACTTAATTTTGTTGTAAAATAATTCCTACAAAAAAAATTGTAACAGCTTTTATGTTACAGAAAGAATTCTGTTACAAAATCATTTTCCTCACAATGTTCAGACAACTTCTTTGTCTTATACATTCTTTCCAAACTATGCTGATTTTTTTCTTCTTTCAAGGTACCTATTGTATGACTATTCTTCTTCTTCTTCTTCTTGGGGGAGGGGGTGGGGTGGGGTGGGAGAAAAAATAACATGTATTGCAACTTTCTTAAGTGAATAGAAAGTTGGATACCAAACAAAAAATGTCATCACCTCCATTGTTGTATGATGTAGGATATTTACCAAATTTCATCTCAAGTCTTCGTGATCCACACGGTGAAATTCAACGTCCAAAATGTAGTTCAAAAAAGGGATCGAACTTCACATTGCTCTGATATTTTGCTTCTTTTGTATGACTTTAATTGCACGTGTTGCATAAGTTAAAGTGGAAATTTAAAAAAAAATCACAAAAATGTCAATTAATGTATAATAATAAAATAAAAATAATAGGCATTTCTATAGCGCCATCTATCTAGAAACTGGTAAGGACATTTTTTTTTGTCCCGAAATTTGAAAATTTGACCGATCGACGTTCCGTTGGGGGGGGGGGGGGGGGGGGGGGGTAAGGTCACCTTTTTTAGGTCACTCATTGGCATAATTTTTTTTTTAATTAAAAAAAAATAAGGGTGGGGGTTCCTCCAAAACCCACACATAAAAACAAATGAGGGGGGGGGGTACTCCAACCCCCCCCCCCCCATGCAAATCATGTCCATCCTGTGATCTCATACATCTCAGCAACGTTCGGAGAGCTCTTCAGGTGCTATGCCGGGGCTGTATTTAAGTGTTTTGTAATAAGCAATGGACTATCCAACCGTTTTATCATTCTATCATTGTTATATAAGTCTTTGATTTTGTTATATTGTGTTTTTGTTTTTTTTATGATGATTTTCGGAAATAAAACAAACAAATTACTTCGAATGTTTCCAAGCATTGAATTTTGATAACCTTGTCGAATCAAATTTTTACCTTTGCAATAAGGAAAATAAAGTTAGTTTTTAAAATCAATGAATATCTACTTGAAGCTGCTCTGATTCATTTTCTAGTACGTGTTCTCGTTTTATTGTCAATTTGAAAAGTGTTCCTTGTCTGTATTTTCTTTTCTTTTTACAGTTTACATAAGTTGTCATTACAGCGTTTATAAAAGAACAGAGTGGATCGTCATTTAAATACCCTTTGTGTTTTTTGTTCATCATGTGAAATAGATAAATAAATGATAAATAATGCATTTTAAAATTGAAAAAAGCGTTATAATGATTACTTGATATCAACAAAAGAGGCGGTGTGGTCAATTTAGCAATATGAGACTATGAAAGTCGAATATTGTATGCATTTTGGCCAAACCCATATAATGTGCATAGCAACATCTGCACGGCCAATAGGCAAAAACTTACAAATAACCATTTACTCCATTGCGCCCCACCCCCCCCCCCCACATAAAAAAAAAAAGATTGACGCCCCTGTATCTCAGGCTTGTCTTCGACACGTGCTCCTTTTCTTTTTTAATAAGTGTCTTGTCCCTTTCGATATGTTTTCCCTTTCCTCTCATCATTAAACGAGCCTCTAATTTCAAGCGACTAAGAGCAATTTCCCCCAAAGCTCACACACTACGCTTCCTCACATTAAGACATAATAATGTTACTAATCAAAAGACTGTTAAGTCTCCGTTATGAGAATGTGCTTACAGGATTGTTTTTTTTTTCCTCTTAATAAGATGTAATTTTTCGCACTGCAACCTCACAGATCTATACAAAAAAAGTACCAATCTATACACATTTATTTTAAAAAGCGGAACAGTAATATTGTTTAAACACATTAATGTCCATGTGTCTTCGCCGGTCATCTGCATTGTTAACACGTCGGTATACATGAATCTCGGTTTGTTTGACTCTCGGCTCAATCTCTTTCTCCCTCTTTCTGCTGATATAACCAGGGACTTGGGATACAAGGACTGGATTCTTTATTTTACGACCTTCCAGGGGTATTAAGCAAGCTTAGTTTGCTGCAATTGATCCCCCAAACTCCTGATAAGCAACGCTCAGACAGCCGCTCGATACCCGGAGGCTATGAAAGTTACGCAACAATGAGCGCTGGGTCGGAAATCAGAGCGATAAGGCTGGGTTTGGCAGTGCTTTGAAGTCCGATGCTCCACCCCGCCGATTTTGGCATCCTTGTCATCCTTCCACTGTTTTTGGCAATACACTAGATTCGATCTCTAACACCTTCTGGCTGCGCATTCACTCATCCTGCGCATATCATATGCGCAGTAGTTGTATTCCAATGAGTCGATAAACAAGGAAGTCCTACGCTTTCGAACCGTCAAATTCCGACCAGATATAGCCAAGTTACACGGACAGTTATGATTTCTTTGGACGATATGAATATGAATATTGAAGGACATTTACTCAACCTTGCGCTATGATGTGCATATTTTTATATATTTAGAAGGAAAGAGGAGATTGTAAACTTTAAACTGATACCAGTCCCATATGCGTATTTTTGCGTGTTTTTTTGTGGCATGACTCTGAAGTTGGTCAAAGATCTCGAAACTTTGCATTTTCGACGGGACATCATTACTAAGCTAGTGACGTCATGCCAGTAAAGTGCAGGGTTCCCCTGTTTTGTATAATTGTTTTCTTGCTGATCTAGATAGATAGTTTATTGGTTTCCCAAAAAAGTAAAACCATGCCACTAAAATTCTTTATCAAAATTCACAAAATCATATAGAATCTTGAGAGTAGAGTCTAAAATCTAGATCTATATGATTTTGCAATTTTTAATGAAGAATCATAGATATAAATAAAGAATGACCATTTCAATTAGACTGGATTGCCTTTACGATCATGTTTGTTTTGTTTTATTTGGTTTCTTTTAGTTTTAATTCCTTGTTTTGGTTATTAAAATTAAACTGGATACGATTGGAAAGGGGAGAAAAAAAAAGAAAATAATTGTGTATACTGCTTATCCACGTTAGGTCCTATATAATTTTTATATTGAAAAAAGAGAGAAAGAAGCAGTGGCGTACGCAGGATTTTTTCAAGGGGGGGGGGGGGGGGGGTTAACATTTTGAAATCGGGCCAAAGAATTTTCGCAACGACTCAGCCAGGCCGCTGAATATAAAGCGGGGGGGGGGGGGGATAAGAGGGCACATTTCATTTATTTTTGGGTCCCGAAATTTCAAAATTTGACCGATCGACCTTCTGTTCCGTTGGGGGGGGGGGGGGGGGGGGGGGGGGGTTTAAGGTCAAATTTTAGGTCATCCATTAGGATTTTTAAAAAAGAAGAAAAAACTCAAATGGGGGTGGTGGTTTTCACAAAAAAACATACATAAAAAAAACTGGAGGGGGGGGGGGTAACCCCTCAGTTTCAGTTTTTTTGTATGTATATGTTTTTTGTGAAACCCCCCCCCCCCCTTGAGTTTTTTTCTTTTTTTTTAACCCCCTCCCCCCCCCCCCCCCCCCCCCCCCCCCTGCGTACGCGCCTGGAAAGAAGGAAATTAATATTTAAAAGAAAGGCGTTGGTAATTATACTCGTCGGTTCTTGAGCTTGACTGATTGCTATTACAACAACAACAAAAAAAACGATATTATTTGTGATGACCATGTACGTAGCTGCAGCATGCAGGGTTGTGGGTATGTGGGCCGGGCCAGGAGCGATAACGTTGTTTGTTACAATTATTGACAAGGGAGTTTATAGTCTACAAACTAGATCTTTCAGCTACTTAAGAGTTCAGTAACTCAGATCTGGTTAGTATAGATTTTGTTTTCATGTATATGTACAAAGTTCGGACTTTCTACCGTCGGTCGATATTGTAGATCTATTCGTGTGATGAGGTTTCACACAGAAGTCGCATCTCCAGGTCGTATCTAGCTAGCACTGACGAGAGCGCGACCGGCCGCTCAGCTTGGGGAGACTTTGTGTGAATTTCCGTTACCTCTTTGCCTGCACATTGGCGGTGATACCACACAATCGGACAATTTTCACCACCACATTGAATTAAGTTTTCCGTAGCAGGAAATCCACAGATACATACTTGTTTCCCAACTCTCAATTTCCCAATCTTTCAGGTAAAAAACCCAATCTTCGGCCTGGCTTTGGGACTGAACCTTAGACTTAGCAGCACACACTGTTGCCATTTTTATTTCCTGTGCTAAGCGAGGGCGCATGCGCAGTGAGTTATTTGTGACCTCGCCTGTCATTTGCTTCGAAGAAATTTACGAGCGCTTGCGCTCGAGCGGCAGTAATTTGGATTAGTTGGGATAACATTCTGCAGTGTCGGGGTGGAGCATGGGTTCAAAGGGAATACATCAAGATTCCAGTCCTTGTCAACTAACAAGTCCTAACAAGTCCCTGATATAACCTCCTCTTCTTAGAGCTTTTGCAAGCATACATTTTGTCTTATCTACCTTTCTCTCCTTTCTGCCTTCTTCATTTTTCACAATTTTTTCATTTTTTCAATACATTTTTTGTTGTCTCCTTCCCTAAACTCATAATTTCTTTATTGTTACATATTTGTTTTCAATTTTCTATGTAAACTTTGTTTTTCAAGACGTATTGTAAAACAGCCTCTGATGAGCTAAGACCTCAACAAGCTCTGCTTCTAATAGTTCCTCTTTTCCCGTGCCATTACTATGATATTTGTCTTGTTTCATTATATATTTTGTGTAATATAACATTGCAATTTCATTGTATTATGTTTTGCAAGAAAAATAAAATCATTTGAATCTTGAGTTAAAAAGAGGTCCCAATGTCCCTATAATTAAGCGAGGGATGAGCTCATGAATTGTAAAACAATAAGTATAACACACAAAGCATCTAAATCTATAACAGCACGATGTGAAGACAAGTCAATGGTGCAGAAAAATACACAATGGGGAGGGTAACAATAGACAGGAAATACAACGAGGACTTTGTACCTGTCAACGTTGGTAGTACAACGAAGCCTTTCATATTCACGTGCATAGGAACTTACAACATGTTTTAGCAGTGCATAATTATGGTCGAGGGCCTTATTCATTAATTTACGGATTGAAAATGGGTCGATTTGAAAGTCGTCTAGCAACATCAACCGATGAATCAACCCTGTACGATATCCTCTATGAGTACGTCATCGAACAGAACTTGGGAGAAGAATTCACGAATTCACAACAAAGTAAGTTCGAGCGTCAGTATAATCAACAAGAGAAAATAATATCCTTGATCGTACATATTGCATTCAAGGTAAATTATGTAACAGAGGTATATACCAGTTTCGGAAACGCCCCCTTAAAAATGAAATGGAAGCTCTTATTACCAATCATGTGAAAGAATATGACTAATACGTGATGATACAAATTTTGCCGGAAAACCGCCTACTAATTGATATATTTGGTAAATTATTATATCCATCCGGACTGGATAAATACCGCGTAATCCCATATACATCTTTCTGTGTACAGTGCTTGTGATTTTACCAAAACTGGCCTAAATTTCTTATCATGTTGATGATTCCAGAACCTTGCAGTACACGCCAATACTTATATGCTAGATGATCAACCTTTTCTGATCGATTCCACAACGTTCTTTCACAATACAATCGCAGAACTGGTCTATACCTTTAACAAAAATGCTTTGATCAAAGTTCGTCCAGTTGCAATCATTATTCCCTGTAAGCAGGGGCGTCAATCATTATGTTTGGGGGACACTGAAATCTGAGTGTCCAAGTAGAGCGAAGCGTTATAAGGAGTGGGGTCCAGTGGCAAAGCCCCGGCGGGTTTTCAGCCCAGGTCGAAATTCCAGTAGAAACCAGTAGAAACCAGTAGAGACATTCTAATGGTTATACTGGTTTTCCAGAAACCAGTAGAGTCATAATGGTTTCAGGAGGAACTGTGAAGTAAAACCAGTATAAACCTTTACAAACCAGTAGACTCTAATGGTTTGAAGACCAGTAGAAACCAATAGAAACCATTAAGATCTAATGGTTTGAACATGGGTGTAAAAATCCTAAGTCAAACCATTAGAATCCTTAACAAACCAGTAGAGCCTAATTGTTTTAAAAACCAGTTGAAACCAATAGAAACCATTAAGATCTAATGGTTTGAACATGAGTGAAAAAATCATAAGTCAAACCATTAGAAACCTTAACAAACCAGTAGAGCCTAATGGTTTTGAAGACCAGTAGAAACCAATAGAAACCATTAAGATCTAATGGTTTGAACATGAGTGAAAAAATCCTAAGTCAAACCATTAGAAACCTTTACAAACCAGTAGAGCCTAATGGTTTTGAAGACCCGTAAGAAGATAGGTACCCCTATATAGGAAGTGTTAATTGGCATTTCCGGTTAATTAGTTAATCCTTCCGGTTAATTAGTTAATCCTTCCGGTGACTTCCGGTAAACAATAGGGTAGTGTTAATGAGTTAATTGGGGTGTCCTTCCGGCGGAAGTTACGTAATGAGGGTACATCCCCTGGAGGAAGTTCTTTTGTTTACATCATTCATTCATTCATGGAGAGGTGGAGGATGGACGTGTGTAGGGTACGAGGGACAAGGACCAAATGACCAAACAATGGGCCACCCGGCATGTATGTTGAATGTGTATGTTACCGACCAATGAGAATGCGAGGATTTTTTTAGAAAGGAAGTGACCCAAAGTTGGTACTTGTTTGTGATTGGACGAGAGAAAATGGTGAACCTATGGGCAAGTATCATATGACATCTAACTGTCGTTGAGTCAACATCGCTTTGTTTTTGTTGTAATACTGGCCAGATTCTATAATGTACCATGATTTCTACATGTGATTTAATGCACAAGCTTCGGGCATGTACATGCCTGGAAGAAGTATCGAGTTTTCGTGAGGAATATTATGAAGACCTTGAACCAGAACAACATGCTTTGGTATTTGCAAGGTCATCCTACTTTTTGAGTTTGCAGGACTTGGAAGATGGTAAGTGCTAATCATATTTATTTATTTATTTTCATATTCATAATTGAATAATTTTGTAGTGTTACCATATCGGGTTTGCATCTGGAATTCAAGAAGGAGATTAAGCATCGAAAAATCCATAATAGGCAACGATGTGACATAATGAGTGTTTTTTTTTGTTCAATGCAAATTAAATAATGATTGATATCTCCATTTGAAACATAAACTCACGTGTAAGCAAAAAAAAAAAAAGATTTATAAAGTATTATAAAGTATACGTTCAAATTATAAATTTAATTAAATTATTCAATTATACTTGTAGGGATTACCGATGATGATTTAGTGGATGTGTTCGTCGAGAACCAACAGCCCCCTCTCCCCCTAGCAACGCAGCACCAGCAAGGTCTTCCACATGACGCAGCTACTCCATGGCAACCAAATTTTGATGACGGTTAGTGTATACTTCATTTATATATACATCAATGCAAAGGATCATTGGATGAATGTTCATTTTTTTTTTTCATGTATGAAGACAACACAATACATTGTAGCGGTTGAATGAAACTTTTTATCCGTTGTTATATATCTTTTTTTTTTTTTTTTTTTTTTTTTTTTTTTTTTTTAAATCTCATAGGCATTTCCGATGACCATTTAATGGAGATGGACATCAATACAAATAAGCCATGTGACGCAACATCAGTACCTGGCCCCTCTAACCGCCAACCAGCAGCAACAGCAGTGGCTGGACCCTCCCGCCATCCAGCATCAGCAGTGGCCGGACCCTCCCGACAACCACCAGCAGTGGCTGGACCTTCCCGTCAACCAAGAGCAGTGGCCGGACCCTCCCGACAACCACCATCAGTAGCCGGACCCTCCCACAGTCAACCAAGAGCAGCAGCAGTAGCCGGACCCTCGTCTTTTCATGTTGGGGGATCTAAGAAACGTGTTGTAGATGCACCGCCTGCAAGAGAACCCAATCTCCCTACTCATCACGTGACCAAAGTGAGTCAAAAACATGTACGCAAATACAATGCTAATGTAACTGATTACACCGTTTCTTTCCAACCCATAGAAAATAACGGTCCCATGATAGAAATGATGCCACGCGTAAATGAGATGTTTGAAAAATATCATTGAAGAGATGGTTGAGGGGGTAAATGATAGAGATTTTGTTAGGATTGTTTTCAATTCCCCACAATTAGATAGACCCGTTAGTATGCCATTTGTAAGGAGGGATCAAATGAATCACGAAGCATTTGCAACCAAACTTGAGAATACTATTCAATCGAATGATAAGGTAAGCTTGGACGAAACAGTCTCTTTCAACATATTACACATGGCTATGCCAAATGGTGGTGGTTCCAATGTGAAGTGCTTAACCATCGAAGAGACATTGTCCAGAAAAAGATGCATCATCAGGATGAAGAATAAAGATAACATGTGTTGTCCAAGGGCTATCGTAACTGGCATTGCCCGGATTGAAAAACACCCTAATTTTGAGTCGATCAAACGTGGTTACAAACAGCAAAGGGAATATGCCATTGAGCTGTATAAACAGGCCAAACTTCCAGAAAATACCAAATGTGGCATCGAAGAGATTAAACTCTTCGAAAAGACGGAATTCATGGCCGGTTTCAGGGTGGTGGTTGTTTCAAAAGAGCACTTAAACTTCATTACGTATGCTGGCCCCGAAGACAGGCAGCATACCATTTATCTGTATGTTCATGACAATCACTTTGATCTCATTACATCAATGGCCGCCTTCTACAACAAGTCATATTTTTGCCACGAGTGTTTGGTAGGATACGACAAGAAACTCAGACACGACTGCATTTTCCGCTGCAAACTTTGCAAGGGAGATGACTGCCCCGCCTCCAATGACCCCGATTCCTACAAATGCATTAGCACCTGACTTGATGTACAAAGAGCATTAGCGCCTTTACACCTTCTTATTTTGTTTTCTTTAAACAAAAAAAACTTTTTTATCATTACGTTTTTTCTTTTTTCTTTTAAAAGTTTCATAATATTATTATTTTTTTTTATTTTTTTTTTTTTTTTTGGTAGATCATTTTGCACGAACCGATCATTTTTTTGTCCACTTTGAAGACTTGATTCTTTAAAGATGTCATTTCTTTTTCTTTAAAAAAGGTGTATAACATTTTCTTTATTAGATAATTTTGCACGAACCGATCTTTTTTTGTTTCCACTTTGAAGACTTGATGCAAACAAAAAAGTGTTTACGCCTGTACGCTTTTTTTCTTAATTTATATTAACATTTTTTTTTGTGTGTGTGTGTGTGTTAACTTTCTGTCAAGATGATATTTCTTTATCTTTAAAAAAGTTTTATAACTTTTTCTTTACTGATAAGTTTGCACGAACCGATCTTTTTTTCCACTTTAAAGACTTGATGCAAAAAAGTCTTAACGCCTGTACGCTTTTTTAATTTGTTTTAACATTTGTTTTTTGTTTTTTTTGTTTAAATTTCTGTCAAGATGTTATTTCTTTATCTTTAAAAAAAGTTTTAAAACTTTTTTCTTTAAAAGATAATTTTGCACGAACCGATCTTTTTTTTTTCCACTTTGAAGACTTCATGCAAAAAGATGTTAACGCCTGTACGCTTTTTTAATTTGTTTTAACATTTCATTTTTTTTTTTGTGGTTGGTCATTTTGCACGAACGGATCATTTTTTTTTCCACTTTGATTCTCTCAAGACATTATTTCTTTTTCTTTTAAATAAGTTTTATACTTTTTTTTTTTTTTTAAAGATCATTGTTGCACGAACCAATCTTTTTTTTTCCTTCCACTTTGAAGATTAGATAGAAAAAAAAAGTGTTAACGCCTGTACGCTTTTTTACAAATTTGTTTTAAATTGTTTTGATTTAACTTTCTGTCAAGACGTTATTTCTTTTTCTTTATAAGATTATTTTGCAAAACTCGATCATTCCCCCCCCCCCCCCCACCCCTTTGAAGACTTGATGTACAAAAAAGCATCAACGTCTGTACACTTTCTTTATTCTTATTTTTATTTTTTTAAACTTTCTGTCATTACGTTATTCTTTTCTTTAACATTTTGTATAATTTGTTGGATCATTTTGTACGAATCGATATGTTTAACCCTATTTAAAGACTTGATGCAAAAAAGTATTAATACCTGTACATTTTCTTACTTTATTTAATTTTTTTTTACTTTACGTCAAGGGCGTTATTCCTTGTTTCTATACAGACTCGACATGAATTTTTCTCTCGTAA